AGAAAAGCAAACCCTTTAAGGGCAAGATTGTAAATATTTTGAGCTTCATGGGCTACATGGTTTCTGTAGCAGCTACTCAACTTTGCCATTATAGTGCAAAGTAACCATAAACAAAATGTACATGAACGGGCATGACTGTGTTCTAATAAAACTTTATTTACAAGAACAGGCCATAGGATATGGGCCATAGATTGCAACCCCTGTTTTACTCAAATTATACTGTTCAATTTTTGTTTTGTTTTTGGCTTCTCATAGTGAAATACTACTTACAATTCTGTATAAAAAAAAGCTTTCTTGTCAGTACAGTGCAGGAATCGTATTGTTAGGATTCAGTGGTTATTCAATATCTGCTACTTAAATTCCTACCATGACAGGGTGGTTAGGTCTTCAGAAATTGGCCAGGTATTGGTTCCTAAGAGTAAGAAAAGGAGAGAAAAGTGATACATCCATCCTGTGAGGGTCGCAGCACTCACTGCCTAACTTGGACATGTAACGGGACTTGCTGAGAGCAGGACCCTCCGAGCCCTGATTGGCCACCTGGGCTGCAGCCCCACACGGGGGCACAGCTGTCCAGCCTCCTGCCTTGTCTGGGCCATCAGCCTTGTACTTTAACAGGTCTTCCTGTTTCTGGTTGTATTTGGTTATACTGAACCAGGATGTGTGCCTAAATTCTTTGGCCCCGGCTGGTTTTGGATTATTACATTAAATAAAACCAGATATTTGGATGATGCATACCCTTCTGTAGACATTTACAAGTACGTGCAATCTGGGTGACATATCATCGAGTCAGTCATTCCATTACTCATGTTTCTGAGCACCTACTATGTGCCAGGCACTGGGGAGATGATGAGGGAAGAATAGGGATTCGTTATATTGTTGTTTACTTTGTATATTTTGCAATTTTTTGTAAAAAAAAAAAAAGTAAATCCCTACTTCTATGAAATTTAAGTAGTGATGGTCATTTAACATTACTAAAGCCTAGAGTTAGTCTAGTTCACTCTTGGGTTGTTCACTTTGAGTATTATTTGAGGAAAGTTTTTAATCCTAGTATGACATACCCTTACCTCCCACATACATAGGTGTCACTGACTTTTTGCTTTTTTAGCCTGAGCAAAGTATTGCATTAAAATTAGTAACTACAGCTGAGGAGGAATATGGAGGCCACTTGTATTTCTTAAACTGGTGGTAGACTGACTGATGTTCATTATTTTATTCTGCAGCATTTTTTTTTTGTAAGTCAAATATTTTATAATTCAAAAACGGTAATGCTTTAGAGGTAGATATAAATTTTGGGAAATTATCCATGTCTTTGATAACTTAGGTGCACAAATAAATTTGACAGTAAATGTCTGCTGCCACAGTGGTTCTACAGTAGGTATATGTGTCTGTAACTGTGAAAGAGCTTGGAGTGTGACGTCCAGCCCCCATCTGGGAAAGGCCGAGAGCCAGCTGGCCATCTAGCTCCTGTAACAACACTCCCAGGAGAAGTTTCTCCTCCTCTTCCCCCACTGGCACTTTGGATGTGTGTCACAGATGTTTGCAGGATATTATGTGGGGAGAAAAATGACCGCAGATGAATGACCATTCTTATTAAACTCATAAAAACATCCATAAAGTGTTTGGTTGAAATGAAGTCCAAAATGAGTCTGCATGATTGCTGCCTCTCCTTAGCTCTTGGAGAAGTTAAAATAGTACTGTGACCCATCTGGTTTGATCAGGACAATCAGAGTAAGGCTATTTCACTTTAGTCCAGGGAGCCCCATTGCCCTCTGAGCTGTTGTTGTGAGTGGTAATTACTTGGTGAGGAGCCTAGATCATTTAGGAGTCACTGGTCCAGAAAAAAAATCAAACCTTATTTTTTAGAAAGTCCTTAAAAAAGGGTAAAATGTCATTGCTATCCTACCATGGATAATTGAGTGTCATTCATTCTTTTTCTCCCCCCACCCCCAGGAGTGAGAGAGTTCCATCAGATAAGCATTTTTAAGATAATTGCTTCTATCCTGCACCTTGGAAATGTGGACATTCAAGCTGAGCGTGATGGTGATTCCTGTGGTATATCAGTAAGTTGCATACCAACACCAGAGATAAAATATACACAATTTACTCTGTTCCTACAGTTTTATGCAACTGAAATGTGTCTTTACACGTAGAGGACACTTGTAGGTTATTTGTTAGCAGTAATGATTTCTGTTTCCTTGCTGATAATTTTTTAAAAGAATACATCTTTTTCAAATCAGCTGCTGCCAGATTTCTACCCCTGAGGGCAGGGAATTTAGTGGCTACTAAATAGATTATTTTTGGTGGATTGGTTTTTCCAGGTACCATGAGGTTCATGGAATCCTTACAAAAAGTGTTGTCAATCCTTGAATACTTTCTGAACTCCTGAGTCCACACTATAAAGGTATGAAGCAACGTTGGACACCATACTTAGTGACTGTCTCCAAGGAGCTTACAATCTAATTGTGTAGACAAAAGAGGTAACATTTGCCAAGATTGATTTATTAAGTATATTGGCAGAATGTTAAGTAAGACATCTATGTGCCAGTATTACACACTGCACAGTGCTCCAAAATGCTCATGATGACTGTTATTTTCCTGGCACCCAGTGTTGGACCTGATGAGTAGTAGATAAAAATGTCTGAGTTGGGTGGGTGTAGGAATGGTACTGGTGCAGTAGTTAGTATAGACAGCCACTGTTGTGTGCTCTCTTCTGTGTCATCAGGCTGGGCTAAAACTGGCATTCTGACATTGAATAAATGAATGTGCACTTGTTCACTCTAGACCTTTTTTGTGCCCATTAATGGCTAAGTCCTGGGGAGGTATAAGATAGGACTCTTGCTCCCAAGGATTTAGGATTGACATAACCGGACTGTGGGAGAAGCTTGAAGAGAATACAATGGAATATGAACATGGGCACAAGTCCTTGCCACTCACAAGCTAATGTTTTTTCAATTGAGCAAACATTTCTTAAGCTTCGACTGTTTGTGTAGGATTAGGGGTCATCAGAAATTCAAACTGGTGGCCCTGCCTTTGGGAGAGGAAGACCTGAAGTGTAGCTGGCATCTGGCAGAGCTCATCGCCCTCCCCTGGCCCCTGCCTCATGCTTTTTCCCTAAAAGCGATGCTCCGGGGTTTGCGAGGTCCCCTGGGCCTGTCAGGGCTGCCTCCATACTTAGTACAGAGTCTGCAGCCTCATGAGAGCTTTGAGGCTCGCTGGCCTGGGCCCAGGCCCAGTGTGAGAGGAGGGAATGTTGGAGCTGGGCAGTGTTAGGTGACCATGGACATCAGGGTGCGAGTGTGTGCAGCAGGGGAGTGAGGCTGGTGGTGGTAATGCCCTGAGAGCCCGGGCTGTGCAGAGGTGGCCCTGTGCCTGGACAGGTGGTGGATGGCCCTCCATGGAGTGCGGGCCAAACGCTCCCCTCCTCTGAGTCCTCTGGGTGATGCAGTGCTGTCCCCACTCTTTTCCCTCAGAAAGGCAAAGATGGTCTGTGCCTCCATTTGCCCTGCAGCCCCATAAACGTCCCATGGTTCCTCAGGGCAGGTGAGATTAGGAGCATTTGCATTGAAAAACTCCTGCTTTACCCAGGTAAGATTCAGGAAAGGTGACAATGTTCCCTGACCTCCGGCTCACCCACCACTCCAGCCCTCCCCCACTTCGCTTCTTAGGGCCACTTCCAGGTCACATCCCTGTCTTGTCATGGGTGCTTAACAGCTCCTGGACTATCCTCCATGGTGCTTAGAGTGGTTGTAACTTTGCGTTTACCATGTAATTATTTGCCACATGTGCCTTTCATTCACAAGAAGAAACTTACATTATTCTGTGCCAGAGCTTGCAGGGTGATTACATATGAAAAAGCTAAATATGCCATCTTCCGCAAGGACCTGGTGTGACTTCCTTTATAACATTGCCTTTTGCTGGAGGAGCTCTCCAAAGGGTTTTCAATAAGGAGCAGTTTGAAGGTGGATTTGAAGGGACAGGAGCAGAAGCAGGGAGACTGGTTTAACGTCTTTTGCAACAGTCCCCAGGCTGAAGGTCAGACCCAGGGCAGTGGCAGTCAGAATGGAGGAAGGAAAGAGATTCAGGTTCTTAGGGGATCAGGTGGGAAGATCAGGGTGTTGAAGGAGGACTGGGTGTTGCAGTGCATCTGCATCTAAACATGTTTAATTGATATGCCTTCAGCTGTACACATGCAGGTCAGGGGAAAATAATTTAACTGATGTTTTCAGAAGAGAAAAACCAGACTGTCCAGTTTTGGCTTCTTGTCAAGATCAAACATTGTGCACTTAGAAACACCAATTATTGAGCAGGGTTCTACCCTACAAAGGTCCTATATTTTGAGGAAATGTAATTTTCAAGGGTGATTTTGATTAGGCGCCATTGTTGCCTCAAATGCTGACTTCCAAGGTCTGTAGTGCAGCTTCCACCCAGGGCTCATTCCGTTTTTGCCCTCCGCTAAGGTCAGCTCTGAATTCCCAGACAACCTGGGCCCCTCACCAGTTGTCTCCAAGGTCGTTATGAGAGGCCTGACTGAAAGGAATTAAGATGGGGGTTGAGGGCCAACATAGGTCTCAGCCTGTTCCCTGGGGCACATTGCTGCCCCTTGTTTGTGAAATGAGGGGGTCAGACGAAGATTATCAACGGTCATTGAAGTCTGTGATCCTAGGGTAGGTATACATTTTACTTGCATGTATGAGATCCCTTTTTAAAAAGTCTGTGGTTTTAAAAAATTTCCTACTGTAAATTGAACTGTCACTTTTATGTTCACGTTTTCCATATGCCAAATACAGCAATGTATTCTTTCAGTGCAGTGTGATTATTTGTCTTTTGTTACCCAGTTTTTTTCCTCTTCCCTTTGCCATTACCAGTTAAAGGGTTCCACATTTGGCTGGGAATAAAACGATCTGGGATGAGTAGACGTTCTCATGGGTCGTGATCAGTGGGTACACTGAGATGAAGCTTCTCTCTGACGCCTCATGTCTTTACCTGCCTGCCTACCACAGCATGTGCGGAGGACTTTTTCTATACGTCACAAGGAGGAGACACGTCCATCGAGGGCATGGATGATGCTAAGGACTTTGAGAAGACTCGACAAGCCTTCACACTCCTTGGTAAGGAGCTTCTGAATGGGAGGAAAGGCCCAGAGGGTTGGTTGCATGAAGAATAGGAAAATACCTCAGTGTCCCACTTTCCTTGCCAGCCTTCATAAGCTGATGGGAAACCTTCGTGAATTCATCTGTCTTATTCTGTCCCAGCCCTCAAGCTCCAAAGTTTAAGGTTTGGTGACTTGTTGTGCTTTCTTGAAAACAAGGATTTGAGAGTTGTTCTCTCAGACAGTGTGAAGTATCCTTGTCCCTCTCTCAGGCCACTGATGCTAGTGGAAGAGAGCCAAGAGGAGCCATCTTCCTGTGCTGTGGCCTGGGTTTTTAGGTGGTGTGTTCTAGTAGGAGAACATGGGACCAAACTACCCATATACAACAATCACGGGGTTCGAGTTGGAAGCAGACTGTAGAGGTCTAGTAGCACTGTCCTGTATGCGGTGTTATTTCCATTATTGCTGTTGCTATGTAGAGCTTAGCAGTGGAGTCCTGCAAGATCTTTCTGTCCTTTTGGGCATAAAGGGCAGTAGAGCTGGAGAAAACTGCACTTCTCCCCTGCTGTATTGTGGGGAGAAGAGCCCCAAGTGGTAAAGTGGAAGACCAGCCTTTCTTAACAGGGAAATTGAAGTGGTAAATTCCTGGGACCTGCAGCCAGAAAAAGCAAAGCTTAGGAAGTCAGCCTGAAATCTACAAGTGGCTCCAGATGGCCCTTGTGTTTGTCCCACCCCCTTGTCTGACAGAATTGGCTTCTGAGTCACGTGAGTACCCCAGAGCAGCATCTCTTAGGTTCTTTGGTGGGAATCAGAGAAGCCTTACCCAGTGTCCAAACAGAACATGGCCAAGCAGGTCACACCCTAATGTCTATATGGGGAGAAAACCAGGACGTCATGTGCTGAAATCTGAGTGCCGTTCCCTTCTCTGGACAAGTGGGAGATACGGTTTGCCTTTTATACTCATGAAATAACGGTCAGGACACAGAAACCACAGTGGTTATCCAACAGAGAAAATTTAATATAAATTAACTAGAGGAGTAGTAGGTGATGAACTGTTAAGCTGGGTATAAGAGATCTTTAGGGGTCCAGAAGTAGCAGGTGCAAAAGAGCTGTTTTCTGTAGGGGGAGGAAGAGCAGTCAATAAAGGGACCACAGACTAAGAGAATCCCCCACCCCTGTCCAGACCACTTCCAGGAGGATGTAGGCTCCAGATTAGGCCACCACTGGGGGTAAAGAAACCTGCCAGAGGGTGTGTCTAAGCAGCCCGCAGTTGCCCCAGGGTATGGTGGGACCAGAATATTTCAGGAGCAGCTGCTGATGCGGGAGCAGGGCCTGAGGGCACAGCTGGGGTGCACCTGGGAGGCTTCCCAGCATGAATAATGGTAGCTGTGGAGGATCAGAAGCAAAAATGTCATCCTTTTTGTTGCTTTGTACAGTCACCACAGTGCCCCCTATTGACCAGGCCGGATATGCCACCGGCAGGCAAAGGCAAGTTCACAGAATCAAGCTCCAGTCCACAAAGAAGGGATAAGGGCAGATTTGAAGCTGAGAGATACATTGATAACTGGCACCTCAACTTCCCCAGCATCATGTAGCTGTTTTGTTCTCCTGTGCTGGGGAACAGGTTTCGAGGAGACTTGATGCTGAGCAGGGTAGCCATCTGCCCAGCTTGTCCAGGAAAGGAGAAGGCCTCTGGCAGCTGCCCCTGAGGTGCTGCTGTGAGCAATGGGTTTGAGCTGATCCAAGGAGAAGGTGGTTCCCTCCGATGCTCTAAGGAGACTGGGTACTTAAATTCTCGAAGCAATAGCTTTGAAAAATTATTTTAATAAATTTTTCTTCCCTACTCTTTGATAAACATGTCCTTTTTCTTTGGTGGTGGTACTCTAGAGGTTTGTTAAGAAAAGCAAACCCTTTAAGGGCAAGATTGTAAATATTTTGAGCTTCATGGGCTACATGGTTTCTGTAGCAGCTACTCAACTTTGCCATTATAGTGCAAAGTAACCATAAACAAAATGTACATGAACGGGCATGACTGTGTTCTAATAAAACTTTATTTACAAGAACAGGCCATAGGATATGGGCCATAGATTGCAACCCCTGTTTTACTCAAATTATACTGTTCAATTTTTGTTTTGTTTTTGGCTTCTCATAGTGAAATACTACTTACAATTCTGTATAAAAAAAAGCTTTCTTGTCAGTACAGTGCAGGAATCGTATTGTTAGGATTCAGTGGTTATTCAATATCTGCTACTTAAATTCCTACCATGACAGGGTGGTTAGGTCTTCAGAAATTGGCCAGGTATTGGTTCCTAAGAGTAAGTGAAGGAGAGAAAAGTGATACATCCATCCTGTGAGGGTCGCAGCACTCACTGCCTAACTTGGACATGTAACGGGACTTGCTGAGAGCAGGACCCTCCGAGCCCTGATTGGCCGCCTGGGCTGCAGCCCCACACGGGGGCACAGCTGTCCAGCCTCCTGCCTTGTCTGGGCCATCAGCCTTGTACTTTAACAGGTCTTCCTGTTTCTGGTTGTATTTGGTTATACTGAACCAGGATGTGTGCCTAAATTCTTTGGCCCCGGCTGGTTTTGGATTATTACATTAAATAAAACCAGATATTTGGATGATGCATACCCTTCTGTAGACATTTACAAGTACGTGCAATCTGGGTGACATATCATCGAGTCAGTCATTCCATTACTCATGTTTCTGAGCACCTACTATGTGCCAGGCACTGGGGAGATGATGAGGGAAGAATAGGGATTCGTTATATTGTTGTTTACTTTGTATATTTTGCAATTTTTTGTAAAAAAAAAAAAAGTAAATCCCTACTTCTATGAAATTTAAGTAGTGATGGTCATTTAACATTACTAAAGCCTAGAGTTAGTCTAGTTCACTCTTGGGTTGTTCACTTTGAGTATTATTTGAGGAAAGTTTTTAATCCTAGTATGACATACCCTTACCTCCCACATACATAGGTGTCACTGACTTTTTGCTTTTTTAGCCTGAGCAAAGTATTGCATTAAAATTAGTAACTACAGCTGAGGAGGAATATGGAGGCCACTTGTATTTCTTAAACTGGTGGTAGACTGACTGATGTTCATTATTTTATTCTGCAGCATTTTTTTTTTGTAAGTCAAATATTTTATAATTCAAAAACGGTAATGCTTTAGAGGTAGATATAAATTTTGGGAAATTATCCATGTCTTTGATAACTTAGGTGCACAAATAAATTTGACAGTAAATGTCTGCTGCCACAGTGGTTCTACAGTAGGTATATGTGTCTGTAACTGTGAAAGAGCTTGGAGTGTGACGTCCAGCCCCCATCTGGGAAAGGCCGAGAGCCAGCTGGCCATCTAGCTCCTGTAACAACACTCCCAGGAGAAGTTTCTCCTCCTCTTCCCCCACTGGCACTTTGGATGTGTGTCACAGATGTTTGCAGGATATTATGTGGGGAGAAAAATGACCGCAGATGAATGACCATTCTTATTAAACTCATAAAAACATCCATAAAGTGTTTGGTTGAAATGAAGTCCAAAATGAGTCTGCATGATTGCTGCCTCTCCTTAGCTCTTGGAGAAGTTAAAATAGTACTGTGACCCATCTGGTTTGATCAGGACAATCAGAGTAAGGCTATTTCACTTTAGTCCAGGGAGCCCCATTGCCCTCTGAGCTGTTGTTGTGAGTGGTAATTACTTGGTGAGGAGCCTAGATCATTTAGGAGTCACTGGTCCAGAAAAAAAATCAAACCTTATTTTTTAGAAAGTCCTTAAAAAAGGGTAAAATGTCATTGCTATCCTACCATGGATAATTGAGTGTCATTCATTCTTTTTCTCCCCCCACCCCCAGGAGTGAGAGAGTTCCATCAGATAAGCATTTTTAAGATAATTGCTTCTATCCTGCACCTTGGAAATGTGGACATTCAAGCTGAGCGTGATGGTGATTCCTGTGGTATATCAGTAAGTTGCATACCAACACCAGAGATAAAATATACACAATTTACTCTGTTCCTACAGTTTTATGCAACTGAAATGTGTCTTTACACGTAGAGGACACTTGTAGGTTATTTGTTAGCAGTAATGATTTCTGTTTCCTTGCTGATAATTTTTTAAAAGAATACATCTTTTTCAAATCAGCTGCTGCCAGATTTCTACCCCTGAGGGCAGGGAATTTAGTGGCTACTAAATAGATTATTTTTGGTGGATTGGTTTTTCCAGGTACCATGAGGTTCATGGAATCCTTACAAAAAGTGTTGTCAATCCTTGAATACTTTCTGAACTCCTGAGTCCACACTATAAAGGTATGAAGGAACGTTGGACACCATACTTAGTGACTGTCTCCAAGGAGCTTACAATCTAATTGTGTAGACAAAAGAGGTAACATTTGCCAAGATTGATTTATTAAGTATATTGGCAGAATGTTAAGTAAGACATCTATGTGCCAGTATTACACACTGCACAGTGCTCCAAAATGCTCATGATGACTGTTATTTTCCTGGCACCCAGTCTTGGACCTGATGAGTAGTAGATAAAAATGTCTGAGTTGGGTGGGTGTAGGAATGGTACTGGTGCAGTAGTTAGTATAGACGGCCACTGTTGTGTGCTCTCTTCTGTGTCATCAGGCTGGGCTAAAACTGGCATTCTGACATTGAATAAATGAATGTGCACTTGTTCACTCTAGACCTTTTTTGTGCCCATTAATGACTAAGTCCTGGGGAGGTATAAGATAGGACTCTTGCTCCCAAGGATTTAGGATTGACATAACCGGACTGTGGGAGAAGCTTGAAGAGAATACAATGGAATATGAACATGGGCACAAGTCCTTGCCACTCACAAGCTAATGTTTTTTCAATTGAGCAAACATTTCTTAAGCTTCGACTGTTTGTGTAGGATTAGGGGTCATCAGAAATTCAAACTGGTGGCCCTGCCTTTGGGAGAGGAAGACCTGAAGTGTAGCTGGCATCTGGCAGAGCTCATCGCCCTCCCCTGGCCCCTGCCTCATGCTTTTTCCCTAAAAGCGATGCTCCGGGGTTTGCGAGGTCCCCTGGGCCTGTCAGGGCTGCCTCCATACTTAGTACAGAGTCTGCAGCCTCATGAGAGCTTTGAGGCTCGCTGGCCTGGGCCCAGGCCCAGTGTGAGAGGAGGGAATGTTGGAGCTGGGCAGTGTTAGGTGCCCATGGACATCAGGGTGCGAGTGTGTGTAGCAGGGGAGTGAGGCTGGTGGTGGTAATGCCCTGAGAGCCCGGGCTGTGCAGAGGTGGCCCTGTGCCTGGACAGGTGGTGGATGGCCCTCCATGGAGTGCGGGCCAAACGCTCCCCTCCTCTGAGTCCTCTGGGTGATGCAGTGCTGTCCCCACTCTTTTCCCTCAGAAAGGCAAAGATGGTCTGTGCCTCCATTTGCCCTGCAGCCCCATAAACGTCCCATGGTTCCTCAGGGCAGGTGAGATTAGGAGCATTTGCATTGAAAAACTCCTGCTTTACCCAGGTAAGATTCAGGAAAGGTGACAATGTTCCCTGACCTCCGGCTCACCCACCACTCCAGCCCTCCCCCACTTCGCTTCTTAGGGCCACTTCCAGGTCACATCCCTGTCTTGTCATGGGTGCTTAACAGCTCCTGGACTATCCTCCATGGTGCTTAGAGTGGTTGTAACTTTGCGTTTACCATGTAATTATTTGCCACATGTGCCTTTCATTCACAAGACTCCCAGGTCCACGAAGGCACGGCCTGTGTTGCTCAGCACCCAGCACGGCCAGCCTTTGCTAGGCCCCTGGTACAAGGATGGCTAACTGGAGGCTCTCCAGGCCCGGGGGTGATGCAAGTGAGAGCAGAGTGAATGAGCGAATCCAACATCTTACTGGTGTAGATGGTGTCTCTGGAACCAGGTCCGCTGAGCCTCCTGGGCACCTGGCAGGTGGGGAGCTTATTGAAAAGTAAGGCTTGGGCTCCTAAGTGGACTCTCTCTGATCACCCATCCCCAGCCTCTGAGGAGACCCTCATGTGAGAAGGAAAGTGAAGGTGTCTTGGTATTATTTGATCAGCGCTTACGGCCCCCCACTAAATTCTAGAGCCATGTGTGTTCTCATTATTTAGCCCTGAAACTCACTGGCACACACTTGAGTGCGTGTGTAAGGACTGTATGAAGGCGGGATAATCAGGGCACACTTGGAAGAGTGGACAGAGGACACAAGTGGTGGTGAAGGGAGGGGAGGAGGGAGGATGCCTGGCAGGTAGAGGTTTGGGTACCACCCGGCACGCAGGCCCCAACTCTTAGAATAGGAGGTCATGTTTTTGAGCCGTAGGTACATGGTCTAAGCTAGTCTTCTATTCTCTACTTCGAGACTGTGTAGAGAACTGAGAGTGAGAACTCTTGGGTCAGGACTGCCAGGGGTCAGATCCTTTTCTGCCACTTACTGATAGTTACTCAACATTTCTGTTTCCTCCTCTGCTGAGTGGGGGTGATATTCCTCACATGACTGAGTTCCTGACTGTTCTTGTCATTGTGAACTTACGAGCATCGTGATCTCTCTAGCATCACAGGGCTGGGAAAACTAAAGCCCAGAAAAAGGGAACTTTCTCCAAGTTTGACAGTTTCTGGCAAAGCCAGCGCAGGCCCCAGCAGTGTTCTTTCCCCTGCACCACTGCCAGCCATGCCTTGTCCACAGGACTGTGAGTCCCTCTCTCTGGGGCTGGCCTCCCTTTGCCGATGTCCCCCGCCAGTGCCTATCCCCGTGCTGGGTGCTCAGCGTGTGCTCAAGAAATGCTCCACTACATCGTTGCTAGTGAAAGTCCCTCTCTCAAATGGATTTTGGTTTATTCCTTGGGTACATAGGGTGGGCCTCCTACTGGAAAGGTGGCTATCCATACGCAGTGTGCCTTCTGCTCAGTAGTTTTTATTTTAATTAAAGCATGAAAATGTGTTCCATGACTGCCAGAGTTACCTTGGAAAATGCAACAGCGTGCAATTACTTGGACACCAGAGGCAATTTGTTTCTGGGATTTGGCAATATGGGCCCACAAAACTAATCTACCTATGATGCTGGCTGTTTCTAATGGATTTAGCATCATTTAATTAAATGTAAATGTAATTGCATGATGTTAAATCAGCTTCAGTTAGCACCTTTAATCAACAGTCAGAGGGGGGTAATAAGAGGGTCAAGCCACACCCCACTGCAGCCAGTGGGAAGCTGTCCTGCAGTGATTATCTGACAGTTCCTTTCTCCACTGCATTTACCTGGGAGGCACCAGGGAGGGACAGGAGCCTGTGGGCAGGCCCTGGGCAGTCATGTTTACCTCTAGCAGGACGTGTACCTGTCAGGGAATCCAGCTGCAGTGCTCTGCCTAGCAACTAAGAATTTCTTGGCAATAGGTTAGACTAACAAACTGGACACTTGCCACCTTTGAACCTGCTGCCTGCCAGGAAGTCCCTAGGCACTTAGCTACCACATACCGCTTTCTGTTTGGGGGAGTGGGTGGCAGGTGGGGGGAGCCGCAGAGTGAAAGGCTGTCGGCTGGGAGAAGTGGCCATGGCAACCCCACCTGCTGAGCGAAGACGGGCTTGCCCACCCCCACCCAGCCCAGGCAGTTCTTCTCCCAGGCCAGGCCAGGAGCTCTGCACCAGAGTCAGGGAGCCTTGGCTTTGCCTCATTTTTCTCATCTGAAAAATATGGGGGATTGGATTAGAATGATAGTTCCTGAGGTATTTTTCTGGGAAAGTTAACTCTAGACAATTTCTTAGGAAAATAAGGTTCTTTGGTCAGTTAAGTTCAGGAAATGCTCTGTGAAATATCTGTCTCTTGATGCTTATAGGGTGCACCAACAACCAGTCCAGCTGTGTCTAGCCTGACGACATCCCTTGCCCCTTTTGTTAAGCCAATTAATGCTGCTTTGTAACTATTGCTCCACAAACCGTACTTTGGAGAAAACTGGCCTTAATCATTTTTGGAGGTTCTTCTTACTCTGACATTCTATTATTTTGTAATTGTGTTTGTTTGGGGTTAGATGGATTTTAAATATCTGTAGTAGGGGTAAAAAAAAAACAAAAAAAAACGACCAGGGAAATGGTACAGTTACCTATTAATCTTCACTGAACCAGCCCTCATTTAAATCCTGCAATGCAGCCTCGTCATAAAATGAGTCCCACAAGCAATTTAGGGCCATTAGGAGGCGGCACATCATGTTCTATGGGATTCCCTCTCAGCCTCAGCATTGATAAGCTCACCAGCAGCCTCGTGGCTGGGTTCTCAGCTTTCCCAGGTGGGTTTAGACAAGGGAATGATTAACAGGGGAGAGGAACCTCCAAGGGAGAGCACGTTGTCTGTGGGATGTCCTGAGTGGGTGGCAAGGATTATCCTTACGCATTTGGGTGCAATAAGAAGACTGTAGGTGACTTAGTCGTTACCAGTGACTCAAAGGCCAGGTGGTATGATTGGTACCTTGGTAAATGGTGGCCAAGATCAGATGCAGCCAAGAGAGGCAGCTGGGCATCTGGGTGAGTGGCTGCACTTCTCTGGAAATAGGCTTCTTAGCTGCATAAAGTTCTTCAGCTGGAGGAATTCCTAGTTTTTTTCTAGCTCTAAACGTGTGATGTTATTGGTTACAGTATTCCAAGTTATCTTCTCAGGTCAAAATTTCCATATTTTGGCTATTTGTCCTAGCTTTCTGTCTTGACTCACTTTTTTCCTCAAGCGGCAAGTGCTTTAAGAATATGAATAAAGCTTGCTTATGTGCGATTTAGTATCAGTGAGGCTGAGATGAAGCTTAGGCCAGTGAAGTGTCCATGCTGGAAGGGATGGTGGCCATTTGGGGTCAACTCGGGGCTCATTTCCCGGGGTGCGGCTGTTAGACTGGCCGCTAGTCAAAGGTAACACTTGTTAAGTGAGGACTTCTTTGGGGCTGTGTTAAGCACTGCATGTGGAACTCTGCAGATGAAAACTACATTCTGCCCCCTTCTGGCTCCTTATTCTCAGTGGGTTATCCATTCCTAAGCTGCCGATTCTCACTCTGCTCCCTTCACTTGGGGAGCGCTCTCCTCCCAGTTACTCTACAGCTGGCTGGCAATGGAGGAGGAGACAGGGAAAGGGGAAAGAGGTTTTGTTTTTTTAAAGCATTGATAACTTGGTCATTAGGTGTTGAAATGATCAGTTTGAACAACATTCTTTGGGCCCTAATTGTCATCTCCACTTAGCAGTGTGGCTAGGGGTGGAGTGGGCTTCTGGAGCCCTGGGGTGGCCTTGAGCTGGGCTCGTTCTCTCCTTGGGCAGGAGGGGAGAAGGCATGGTGGTAGGCTTGTCCTCCACAGCCCTCCTGAACCCATCTCCCCAATGCGTCTTACAGCCCCAGGATGAGCACCTCAACAACTTCTGCCGACTGCTGGGGGTGGAGCACAGTCAGATGGAGCACTGGCTCTGCCATCGTAAGCTGGTCACCACCTCGGAGACCTACGTCAAGACCATGTCCCTGCAGCAGGTGATCAATGCGCGCAACGCCTTGGCCAAGCACATCTATGCCCAGCTGTTCGGCTGGATTGTGGAGCACATCAACAAGGCCCTGCACACCTCTCTCAAGCAGCACTCCTTCATTGGGGTCCTGGACATCTACGGGTAGGCCCCCGCCCATCCTCCTGCCTTTCATTCCACCTGAGGACCCTCAGTGTCTTTTAGCAATGGAGAGCCAGCAAGGGCTGTGGAGACCTCCCTGGAGGCTCTCAACCAGGGGAGTGTGAAATGTGGGATGGCCGGGGTCACTGCTGGCACCTAGTGGCCTGAGGCCAGGGATGCTAGTTGTCCTTCAATAGGGAGGTCAGTCCCAGGAAGAATGGAACCCATCAAAACAGTAGTAGCTTCTGCTTTGAGAAACCCCATAGACATCCCCTTTTACAACTGAAAAACAGGCCCAGAGAGGGAAATGTCTTGCCCAGCATCAGACTGGAAGTTACCATGAACTTAAACTCAGGTTTTGTACCTCAGTTATATTTCTTTTAAGTCTACTATTTGACTTTGTTCACTGTATCACCAATCAAGCTGATTATTTTAATACTATGGTGTTTCCCAGCACTATACAGATGGGTGTTGTCTGTGGTCTGTCTTGAGGTTTCTCTTGCTTTCAGAATTCTAGCTTAATGGAAGGGACTTCAGTTATAGCAAAATTACAGCATATTTTGCAGGAAGCAGCAATGGGGCACAGGGGCAAGTCTACTTGGCGAGGCATCAGGAGACTGGTGTTTTAACTCGCTGCTGTCACCAGCTAGCTGAATGACTACAGATCACAGCCCTTTCTGGCCTTTAGTTTCCTTAGCTTGAAATGAAGCCAGAGTTCTTTCAGATCCTCCTGGAGTTGTCTGAAATCTTATGTACTGGGTTGCAGCCTTCATTGCATTTCTTTTATGATCAATGTCCTGCCACCTTTAAGCTGATAATAGGTTAAATCCTCCTGGCTCCATGGTTTCTGTCTTAAAATAGCAATTTGGACCCATAGAAGCACAGAGTTGTAAGAACAGTGATGCTCTAGTGGAAACAAATGCTTGGTGGACTGATGAGCTGGGCTTCCCCTTCTGGTGAGGCTGTAGTAAAGGAGATCAAGGCAGGGAAGATGCTCTTGCTGGTGTGGTCAGGGAAGCTGTGTGCGAAGGTGAGGTGTGAAGCAGATCTTCTAAAGAGATGCAGTAGAATATGGGAGAAGGCAGGCGCTGTTGGAAATAGGAGCCCAGTCCAGAGGATAGGAAAAAGCAAAGTGTGAAAGGAATGCTCCTAGGTGTTGGGAGCAAACAGTGGAGAATCTCCCTGGAGTGAGAAGTAGGAGAATGCATGTACCCTCTCCATCGCTCTCAGGGTGTTAGCGGGGAACCATGTGCAAGCCCCTGCTGCCATTGTCTGAGTGCCTGCTTTGTGCTCAGCTGTTGGAGAGCAGGGAATGGTCAGCGCTTAATTCTGTGGTGGTCATGCTGCTCAACTTCAGCTAACTGGGTTTCCCAAAACACCCACCTTTAAACTAACCTTCTGAAGTAAGACCCAAAGAGACTTAGCCTGTAGCATCTGACTCAACTCCCTTCATCTACCTGGGTAAGAATTCCTGAATTTTCAATTTGGGAAGATTAACATGCAGACTGGTTGTTAACAGCAGGCAAAAATATTTGGACTTTAGTGCTGCTGATACGTAACACACCATGCCTCAGTTCTCGTACAGCTGTATACCGTCTTAGCAGTGCCCTGCGTTTAAATAGACGGGCTCCTCCCTTCCCAGGAATTCCCAGTGCAAGACTTTGTGCACTGGTGGGGGCCTCTAAGTTGGGCTCATAGTGCTGCTGAGTCTGGAGATGTCTCTTGCAAGCTGGGACTTTGTGCTTACATTTGTCATTTAATTTTATTATAATGTTTAATTTCTCTAAGGTCTGCCCAAAGGAGAGAGAGAGATTGCAGGGAAGCCTTGCCTATAGTTTGAAAGGTAAACTTCTCCATGGCTGGGTGGGGATCCTGAGGACTCGGTCTCCCGTTTATGGTGCCAGCTCCTGACCTGTGTGTGTCTCTGATCTGGGATTGGCCGTGTATTCCTTGGAGAACATCTGACAGCTTTTCAGTGGCAGGCTCGGGCCGCAGGGCCAAGCAGTGTGGGCCACACGCGCAAGCACTCTCGGGCACCTTCCTGCCCTTTACACTTCCTTCCAGGCTTACTTTGCTGTGCCCGCTTCTTCTTTAATCCTGTTCATTCTCAGAAGCTAATTTACCTTATCAAACTGTGTCATAAAGTGGTCACATTCAAAAAGTGATTCATTCTCCTGGAGAGAGAGGCCACCCACCATTCCTCCTCTGTATGCTCAGTGCAATGCCGACTTCCCCCTCTTCAGGTAGAGTTGAAGGCAGCAAGTTAGATACAAGGTAGGTTCAGAGTCAACAGAGCTGGCTGGCTGGCTGGACCATTTGTTGCCAAGAAAGCACTTGTATTCCCTGAACATACATACACACGCTCCCCAACAGTCCTGGGCTGCCGAGAAAATACCGTATAAATCTGCCCTGACCTTGCCTTTCTTTACTGGCCAAGAGGGTGTGTAAGGAACTTTAAAACCCCAAACATTGCAGGAAAGCAGGTGACTTGGATCTGGAGGTGCTGATTATGATCCATCAGGGCAGTGGCACCCTTTTTTTTTCAGTCTGGGAGAAAATGACAACATAGGGAAATCTGGGATGACTTCTGTTGAGCTTTTTACTGTCCCCTCCCTTTTCCAATCGTCGTGTCTTTCTGCCTTATTTCAGACTTCAGAGGTCTACCACGGAATCTTTTTAGCTGCGGCCATCCCTCAGTTATCTGGAAGGCATCCCACTTGATGCTCCACCTCTCTTGCCCTCTCCAAGCATCTCCCTCTTGTTTCAAACCAATCCCGATCCTTAGGCTTTACTGATAGTGTAACCATGGGGAAGAGAAGCATGTCATCCTCCAAGGCATTAGGAAAACTCCGGCCTTAGTTTTTGAGTCTTCTACACAAATCCCTGACATCTGACACTAGAGAATGAAGAACACCTCTCCATTCTTACTGTTTCTCGGCCCCAGTATGGAGATACCCAAGTGCACACAGAAGATGCCCCTGGTATAACTGAATGTCTTTGTCACCTGTGAGCTACAGTGGCGTGTGGAAGCTGGTGGGAATGGGAAGGATGATAGGGATGTGTTTTCTGAGTGCATTAAATCCTATTCATTATGAGGGAAGGAGCAAGGAGCTATCTCCCTCTCTGAATTAGGTTAGAAATGTGCAAAGCTAACAAAGAGGAGTGGAATTGCTGTTGTCCCTCCTCCCAACAAGTAGACAGTAGTTACTTTAACTGGGTAACTGTCCCCAGATGAACTCTAGTACCTACCTAGGGCATAATTGGCTCACCCAGTCAAGTTCATCCTAGAGACAACTGAAAAGAGTTCTGAAGGATGGATAAGCTGCTCCAGATTTTTCTACAAATGTTTAATGTTACTACAGAAGCAGCAGCCAGAGTGAATAAACACTCACTCCTGTGTGTTTAAGAGAGCAGTGTACAAGCCAGCATCAGACACATATGTCTTCCCTTATCATGATTTGCTAACTGGCAGTAGTTCAGACAGGAGAAAAGTCTGAATTCCTAAATAAATAGCATGTGCCACAGCTGCTGGAGAGCCCCTGGCTCAGAGGCCTTTTCCCCAGGCTCTCCTGAACATTTCCAGACTCCCCGTGTCCTGGTAGAAGGGTGGCTTCCCTCCATCTTGCTCCCCTGCCCCAGCGCCAGAAAAGTGGGAAGCAAGCAGCACCCAGGGCAGTGTAGCCAACCTGGCCAAGTCCTTCCCCCTTGCCTAAGGATCTGTGAGGCTGCCTGCGGGGTATTATCAGGCAGCGGATAGAAATGAATCGAGGAGAGTGCCAGGCAGCTTTTGGCAGGCGTTTCCTTTTCAGATTGCGTTAACCAGCGTTTGCCTCTACAGGCTTGATTAATTGCAATCATCATCCTTTCTTCCTCTCCCCTCCAGGCAACAAGAAAGAAATGGCTTCAATTTGGGAAAAATACACTCACTTGTCGTTGAGCCTTCAAAATGACAGGGGTAGCAGGGGGCTGTGGCCACGGCCAGCCTGTTCTTGATGAGAACAGTTGGCTTAGGAGACGTTCAGAGTAAGGCAGGGTATGGATTCATGACCGATGCTGAAGAACAGTGTGGGAGAGGGTGCAGAGGAGGGAGGGTGGGGAAGTTTGGGCTCCTGGAAGCAGAAAATGGAATTTGCTGGGTTTTTTTTAAATCCTCCTCAGCCCTCTCTTACTTTCTATCCCTTACAGTACTTCCTAACTTTAAATTTGCATCCAACTCTACTTAGTGCTTTTTAATGAGATATTTTTTAAATAATCATTTTAAATTGTGGTTAAAAAAAAGTTTACCAGCTGAACCATTTTAAGTATAGAGTTCAGTAGTGTTAAGTAAATCCACATTGTTGTGCAACTGATCTCCAGAGCTTTCCATGTTGGAAATTGAAACTACCTACTGAGCAGCTCCCGTCGCCTCCCCCCAATTCCTGGGCAACCACCATTCTTGGTTTCTGTGAGTTTGACCACTTCAAATACCTCGTGGAAGTGGGTCGTATAGTATTTGTCTTCTTGTACCTGACTTATTTCATTTGGCATAAGGACTTCAAGATTCACCCATGTTGTAGCATATAGACAGGTTTCCTTCTTTATTTAAAGCTGAATAATCCATCATGTGTATGTGCCCCATTTATGCACTTACCCAGTGATGGGCATTTGGCCTGCTTACATAGCTATGGTGAATAATGCTGTAATAAACAAGGGTGTGCAGATACCCTTTTTAAAAATTTTTTTAGACATATACCCAGAAGGGGGACTGCTGGATCATATGATAATTCTATTTTTCATTTTTTAAGGGAACTCCATATTGTTTTCCACAGTAGCTGACCATTTTACATTCTTCCCAATAGTGTATGAAGGTTCCAGTTTCTCCACATCCTTTCCTACTCTCTTTGCTGTTTTTTTTGTTTGTTTTTTGGGTGTTTTTGGTAGTAGCCATTCTGATAGATACCAGGTGATATCTCATTGATTGCGGTTTTGATTTGCATTTCTCTAATGATTAATGATGTAGATCGTTTTCTCATATGCTTGACCATTCATATACCTTCTTGAAAGAAGTGTTCAAGTCCTTTGCCCATTTTTTAATCAAGTTGTTTTTTGTTGAGTTACAGGAATTTTTAAAATATATTCTGGATATGAATCCCCTATCAGAAATATGATTTGCAGACATTTTCTACCATTCCACAGGTTGCCTTTAATAATATATTTTTAAATTCTTAGGCACACTGTTTACCTTCATCATTTTGATGGAAATCATTCTTTGTTTTGTTTTCTTGGTCTCACTCTTTAATATAGACTTACAGATAATTTTATAACATCCATTTAGTTATTCAGAGAAGACTACCCGACTCCTCTCTAGCCAGTATGAAAGGTTTCACAGAGCTTGGAGAGGGGAGAAGTCAGTGACTGAATTTACCTTCCAGCCTGTGAACAGGGATAGCCCATAAGGTCCCCGCATGTGTCATGGGGTGGACATGCATGGCTAGCCTCAGCCTTCTCAGATCTAGCAGATTGCCAAAGCCTTTGGGTTTGCCCCGGAGTCTCCAAGTCTCTCAGGAGAGCCTTGTAAATCAGAATGTTCTAAAGCCAAGCTCAGCCTTCCAGAGTTGCTCTGATGCAGCCCTTTCTTTGGAGTGTTCCTGGAGCTAGACACCCCTCTGTGCCCTTAAGGCTCAGATAAAGTCTCTGTGTCCAAGCCAGAATCCACATGAACTCACCCTTCTTCAAAATCCTGCCGCACATAAAATCTGCCTTCCCTGGGAGGTCTCATCTACTGGTCTCCTCTTCCCAGTGGCTATTTTGGGCAGGGCCCATGACTTGCTCTTCTTTGCAGCTCTTCCAGCTCTTGGGACAGTTGACTGATGGATTAAGAGAGGATTACCACATGGTAGGCATTTTCCCATTTCACATCAGAGTTCAGGCACAGAGGAGAGCCAGGAAGTAGACGTACTGCAAACTGAATAGCCATATGTCCTGCAGAAGATTCACTGTTCTTGGCCTGTGTGATCAGCACAGGCCAAGGGATGTGATCAGCACCTAGGACTGTGCTTTCCCTGAAGGACAAGTCCTGCATGGGGACATAGAGGCACAGAGAGAAGCCGTGAGCAGAACTCAAGTCCTGCCATTCTAAGGTGTGGCCAGCATCCCGAGACTGTTCAGTAAATATATCAAGAGCCCTCCCCTTGTGAGGTTTCATGGGCTTCAGTGGGGGAAAGAGATGTTGAGAGGACTTGACTTTTAATAATCCTTCCCTCGAAGTCTGTATCTTTATCTAACCTATATCCTATATCTTCTCATTCAGCCTTTGGTAGAAGGGTAGGTAGTAGTCTGTGTAAAATAGACAAGGCTGAGCTAAGATATTCCAGCTCCTTTGACCCCCCATGCTCTAGGAAAATAACTGTTTCCCAACCTTCACAGCAGCTCACTGCCTCTGCTCTAGAGAGATTCATGGAGGTTAATAGCAGTTTCACTTTCCAGCAGATACGACCTTATTCTTAGAGGCATTTGTGGTCCTTAGCACACCCTGAAATTGGGGCAGAATGAGAAGGAAATTGTATACTATTCTAGTACACTTTGAAGATCGGAGGAAATTGACATAGGGATGACATTACCACCACCTGGGCAAATCTCAGCCTTCAGCATCCAGTCTTATTCTAGGTTTTGACCTTCCTTACCTAAGGATTCTGGTCTAAATATTTTTGACATTGATTTTACAGGAGCAATCCAATCCCCTCTAGTATATAAATTTTTTGTGACATTTTAATATGGTGAACTATAAATTGATCCATTGTGTTTAAAAAGTCATCTCTGTTGATGGGAAGTATTACTGGAGATAATTCCACTGTAGAGGAGAAGTCATGCTATCTCCCCGACTCTGGTTTTCTGAGTTCAGTCATCTTAGACTTTTCCAAGCTACCCAGGGCCCTCATTCATCTCTGGCCCTCCGGCATTACAGTAATTACACTAGATGGCAGAGGAATTGTTATCAGATAATATCTTAGAAATAGGGAAGTTATGAGCTAATTTCAGGCTATCTCAAATTAATGAGAATGTTCTTTGTGGAGTGCTACCAATGTAAACCTTCAAAAAATGACAAGTGGGAGATATTTAAATCTTTTATCTGTGGAACTCAGTATAAGTGCTGCAAGCACACCCAATCGTTATTATTTGGCCAGTTGCTAGGGTGGCTTTTTTGTCTTCCTTCTAGGTTTTATTAATTAAATCTCCTCTGGACTTGTCTGGCAGCAGCAGCACCTCTTCGGGTGGTGGGGGAGGAAATGAGGTTCTAAGTGTAACTCGGTCTGCAGGACCACCCTCTGGGCTGAGAGGGCCCCCATCCAGGGTCATGACTGGCAGACACCGTTTCTCCCTCTGGCCTGGTCTGGAGTGCAGGTCCTTCTTAGCGTCTTTGATCTTGTTTAATTAACCTAGAATTATTTCTCTTATGTGAATTTGACCAAAGGCGTTCTTTAATGTATTCTTCTCTAAGCAGTTGACTCCTTTGATCTCAAGATGTCTTCCCCCTTCTCCATATCTTACACTGTGGTGTGTTGGTGGGGTGGGGGATGAGCCCAGAGGAGGGGGAAGCAGCCTGATGTTTTCAGGCACTGACCCAGCCCTGTTGGGTGGCTGATGGGTGTGCTCCTGCTGGGCCCTCTGCACAAGGGGCTGCCTCTCCACCCTTGCTAGGGGCAGCTCCAGCACCTCTCTAAGAGAGTGGTAATTGGCAACTGGGGAGTACAGTCTGTTTAGAAGAGCTGACTTAATTTTATATAAGATGGAGAAAATTCAGTTGTCCATACTGAGAATGAGAGCCGGAACGCCAGGTGATGAAGGCTGAAGCCTGAGCCTAGGTCCCTCATTGCCACGGCCAGTCTCCCTGTGCTCAGATTCCTCCTCTATGGGAAGTTACCCTTCTTGTCCACAGCTCTTTTGAGCCATCTTCTCCTACTTTTCCTAATGAAACGTTTACTCTTCTCTAAATGAAGAATGTGGTCTTAGAAATAGGGCTCTCTGGGTTCAAATGCTGGCTCTTCTGCCTACTGACTCTGATTTGGGCAGGTTATTTAGTCTCCCTATGAAGCACCTGGGGCCTAGCGCTCTGTAGGGGCTGGGTACTAGGGCCACTGCCAGTTCATTCAGCCAGTTGTAGGAATGAGAAAAAGGCACCTCTTCCTCCAAGATTTCTGCCCCTTTTCACTACATCTTATTGTATATCAACTCTTAAACATGCATTAAATAACACCTTCCTTAACCAATATTAGAGCAAGGTACTTTCATAGACTGGGAGTCTGGGATGGGGATGGGATGAAGACATAACTTGGTTCCACCTTTCCGAAGTTAACTTGTGTCTACTTGTTAACAACCCAGACTCTGACGTGCTGATTCTCCAAGGGAGCATCCTATGGAAGCAATCTTGAATTCAGAGATGTACATGCAACGTTTGTCACAGCATTGGTAGCAGCTGAAAACTGGGAAAAGAACCCAAGTGTCCTGCCCTAGGGGGCTGGCTAAATTATGACTCATCTGCAGGGGGGAACGTGGCCTTTATGTGGAATGGAAAAAGGCACCTGCTCTGGCTGGTGAGGGATCTGTGCTGGAGCTCAGAGAAGAGCTGGATGAGAGCAGCCTGTGGACGTCCCAGCAAGTCCTTCGATAAAAGAGATGTCTCTTACTTTGTCCTCTCCTTTCCATTCTGCAGGTTTGAGACATTTGAGGTCAACAGCTTTGAGCAGTTCTGTATCAACTATGCGAATGAGAAGCTCCAGCAGCAGTTCAACTCGGTAGGCTGGTTTCTTAACCAGGGCTGTCAGGGTAGGGGAGACTATTCTGTCTTCCTGAGAGCGACAGCTAGACCACTTGCCTTCCATCCAGGGCCAGTGAGCTCCAGCCTTGACCTTCCCTTGGTGTCTGTCTGGTGGTGCCCTAGATTTAGGAAATCACACCCTGCTGCTCAGGAGGAGGTCTGAATGGGGCAGCTGGGTTGGCAGGATAAGTGAGCTCCCCTTGGCTTTGACCCCCATGCTGCCTGATTCTGAGCTGCTAGGGTATTTGAGCAATTACAAGCCAGAGATGAGGTTTCTTACGATTGCTTGGGGTCTGACAATGCAGGACCACCTAACTGAGCTCTTCTGCAGTCAAGACTGTGACTCAGTGCCCAAACCTTTTCTGGTGAGTGTATGTCATTCTCCAGGACTCCAGACTCACATAGCTGAAGCTCAGAGGAGATGAATATTAAGGTATGCGAGGAGTTCACTAATCTTGACCTTTCGCTTCTTACCCTAGCATGTTTTCAAACTAGAGCAAGAAGAATACATGAAGGAGCAGATCCCTTGGACCTTGATTGATTTTTATGATAACCAACCTTGTATCGATCTCATAGAGGCAAAGCTGGGCATCTTGGACCTGTTGGATGAAGAATGTAAGGTAAAACTCATGATGCTCCCATTGAATTAGCTCAATTCTAGACTTAGGCTAGAGGGCAGAGATAGCTGTTGGGGTGAGGCAACATGTGACATCTTAAGCTGGAGTCTCTTCTTTGATCGGTTGGCCTTAGTGTGCTAAGAAACATTGGTGTCCTGCAGACTAGGAGGTATGAGAACCTAACACGTGGAACGTGACTGGCAAGGATTGCTATATTGTTGAAGATGTGTCTCTTTTAGCAGAGACTGAGTGAGATGGATTGGCACAATAAAATGGCATGGATTTGATGCGCCAGATATCCTAGGTCCTGTGAAAAGGACCCCAAAATCTAGATAGGGATCCCCAGATTGTGAGAATAAGAGCCCAGGATCATGTTTGCCATGACAGGCAGAGTGATAGAGCTGCATGGCTGGGTAAGTGAGGTCCATAGATTTCTGCTGTCTAGCTTGCTGTGGACTCTACTTGGTGGACAGGAAGAATCCTAAATTGCCAGCTTGGAGAGAACTGGGCAGCCTTGGGCATGTGGGGTGGCAGACCTGGGTTTTAGCAATCACCTAACTTTGACCGTTGGTTTCCCACTTGGGGCTGGTGGGGGTTCTTGTAGCTGATGATCTTCAAAATGCCTCCTGGGTTGGTGGGAAGAGGGTAAACGTGCACCAAATCCTCCAGTAACAGAAACTAATCCAAAAGTATAGAAATGAAGTGATTCTTAGTATTGAAGGGGGGAAAGCTGACTGCTTTTATTTTCCGGTATCCCACATCTTGCCTGTAAAGGACTGATTGGCCCCAGGGTTTGGGGCATTTCCCTTCCAGAAAGGCTCTTCTAGTTCTGTTGCCTGTGAAAATGGAAAGGAACAGTTAATAAAACAGTGGAAGACAGAGTGCAAATATGCTAAAATCCACAGCGTGCACATTTTTACCTCCTACTGTTTGTCAGCATTTCTTCAGAGCTGCGGGTTCTGGAGTCACATCCAGGCAGGGGTATTTCCTCAGTGTGGCAGGTGTGTGCCTGGACTTGCTCAACCTGCAGGGCAGCACTAAGGTGATAGGGCAGTTGTCCCTGCACTGGGAGGCACTGGCCCTCCAGTCTCCCTTTAAATTCTCAGCGGGCCCGACCGCCTCCCTGGTCTCCATGTGCTGCTGTCAGTACCCGTCTCCAGTTCCGCAGCCCTGGCCCTGCCTGCAGGAGGACTCCAGCTCTCACTCCCCTCCCCTGCCCTCAAGGTCAGGGTGCTTCTCAGCTCTGAGGAACCCATAGGCGGGTGGTTTGTCTTGAACTGCTCTACCTGATTCTGTGATGAACTGGGAGAGGGGACACCCACTCACACTGCTCAGCTGCGCGAAGCCACTCTTGTTAGCTTCCTGTCCCCAGGGCTCTTACAAGGGTGGGTCTGAAGAAAGCCTGACTTCCTGCTAAGGATGCTGGTGTTGAGATGTGCGGTAGCACTGTGCGAAGGCATGTTTAAACTCACTGGTGGCTTGAGGTCTGAGTGGAGCAGGGGAGGCAAGGTGAACCCCAGCTTAAGGAGCAACCCCAAACCCCAATGTGGAACCCTTTCCTACCTGATTTGATTGCTCTGGGCATTCAGAATGATTCAGTGTAGTCTGATGCAGCTTCTAGAAAGGTAGTTTTTAAACCAGCGGGTGTTAATACATCTGTCAAAACTTCTGGAACTGTACACTTTAAAAGGGTGCATTCTATATGGAAATGATATGGCAAGAAATACAACTTTAAAAAATGATGGTGGGGGGCCTGCTGCACCCCTCTGGAAGTACCACGGCTCTAAGCCTGAGCAGGTTAGGAATTCCGGTGGAGTTGGTCTCATCAGGGCAGGTTGGCGTCCCTCAGGACTGGTCCTGGTGGTCTGGGAGCTGCCTCAGGCACCTTCCTTTCCTCTGCAGTTACTCAGGGACTCTCTGCAGGTGGGAAAGAATAACAAGATTGCACCGTGAAGAGCTGGATTCCGTGACCCCCCCCCCCACCATGTCACAGGACACAAAGCGGTATAAAAGCAGCCATTGGGAAAATTACTTATGCTGGAGAAAGACCCACAGTAGCAGGCAGGACCAGTGAGCTGGGATTTAAATTAGAAATGAAGAGTCAGGGTGGCTGGCTGTGGATTTAAAGGGGTGGCACACAGGGCAGTTTCCTGAGCCTATGATTCCTGTCTGAGCTGCAGGGGAGGCACATACTAAACCTCCCAAGGTTCCCTCAAGTGGAAAAGCCCTTCTTGCTGTCACAGATGTATAGTCAGACCCAGACGAGGCCACAAAGCACAGCTGCTCCGCAGTAACCAGTGGGCAGGAGAGAGCAGGCGTTTGCTTGCATCTCCAGGCTGCTGTTACCAGAATTCTCCTGCTCAGCTATGTGGGGAGGGGGCTGCATGGTGGAAGCCATGCTGAGCAATGTATAAACCATATTCAGACAGGGCATTCCCTGCCCTATGTCCCAGTCCTTAGTCCCCTCCCTCTTGGGGAAAAAACTAGTCAGGGCTAATGGCTTGGGAGAGTCAGTGCATGTCTCCTCATAAGTGACATATTTGCATTTGAGCAGGAATTTTCCAGAAATGATACCTTGACCTATGGAAGCAACTACAGGGAGTAAGAATACAGACACTATCTCAGTTTGGAGTAACAGTGCTAGATGATAATGGCAGGAGAAGCAGGCTCTGCCCTGTGTGACTAGGAGTTGTGTTTCATGGAACTCAGTCTGAAGAACAGAAGAGGAGGGACCTTCCTATTTAATGTGCTATTTTGAGGCAGAATAAATAGCACTCTCAGAGCAGGCTAAAGAGAAGGGGAAGGTGGATGCCCTAGTGCTCCTTACCTGGGTGCAGCCTGCTGTCTCGAGAGTTTGCTGAGATCAAGGGTTTGAGGTTTCCTAAGAGCTCAGCCCAGAGGTCTTCTTGTCCAAATGTTCGTGAACAGGGCTGAGACCTGAGAGGCAGGGAGGCGCAGGGGCTTTCTCACGTCCGTTCACCCATCCACCCAGCACACCCCGTTCCTGCATTGCTGCCCGGCTCCTGCCCCTCAGCCCACCCTTGGGGGGGTCAGGCGGGCTCTACAGTCACCCGTGATGACAGCTGGAAACACGGAGGAGGTGATGGAGAAGGAGGAAACCCCCAGGGAGGGCTGTTCATGCAGAGTTAGATGGGGAGGCGCGTTCTGGGCAAAGGGAAGGTCACGTTTGGGGAACCTGAAATGGTCTGGTGTGTCCAGAGCCTGTAGTGGCAGGAAGGCTGGAGCCGTCAGAAAATGGGAGGTGCTGCCTGCCTGGAGAAGGCGTGTGGACTTGACTCTGAAGGCTCTGGGGATGCAAGGGTGTGAAGCAGGGGGTGGGATGGGATCAGGTGTGAATCGCTTCTCAGCAGAGCTCTCTGGAGACTGTGAGGCTAAGCTGAGAGAGACTGGAGTGCAGAGAGCAGCCGGGCAGGAGGAGCAGAGGTTCAGGAAGGAGGTGAGCAGTCAGGGCCGCAGGGGCTGCCACATGGCACAGCGAGGCTGCTCGTTAGAGTAGTTGCAAGGGAGTTGTCCGGGAGAGCCTCAGGGGCCAGGCAGTGGGGGTGGCCCGTTTGAATTCCCTCGCGGAAGCTTGGCCATGAAAAGGAGGTGGGAGAGGAAAGGGTGGGGGGAGCATGAGCTGCTGAGGATTCAGCGAGAGGGAAGACAGTAGACTGGGTCCTCAGGAGGCCGGGGAGGATGGGAGGGGAGGGCACCTATGGACACACCTGAGTTTCTGGACATTGAGCAGGAATTTGAGGTTTCCTGCTTGTTTCTCTGTGATGGAGGAAATGAGTCATCTGCTAAGAGGTGGCAGGGTTAGAAGCTTGCGGACAGTGGAGGAATGGCGCTCCTATAAACAGGGAAGAGAAACGCCAGGGTAGGTAGGCCTGTTGGCAGAAGCCAGAGACCATACATTGAGATGTTGGAGTTACTGAGGTCCACTTCCAGCTTAGATCTGGGAACAGTGTCTTACTCTGTAGAAGTGAACACTCATGGTGAAATTTTATTTTATTTTTGAGCAGTAATACAACATTATCAGCCAGACTTGATTAAGGAGAGAAGAGTTGATGTGCGACCTTAGCCTGCCACCCATGGAGGACAGGATGGGCACTAAGGCTGGCCTAGAACAGGTGTTTTGCTGAGCACAAGGAGAGGTGTTTTGTGAGGGTGGGAAGTAAAGGCCTGGGACTGGCATTAGGGATGGCAGCTGGGTGGTGGGGAGGGAAGGAGTCATCTCACCTAGAGAGCTGTTAGGACAGCAGGGTCCTGGGGTCCAGCAGCTTCTAGGATTGCAAGAAGGATGCAGAGGTGTGCAGGGTGGCATGGTCATCGAAAGATCAGCTGTGGTAGGAGACACTGGGAGCCCACAGAGGTATGGGATGGAATGAGACAGTGAGTGACCAGGCAGGTGGTCATTGGTGGCAGTGGCCCAGGAAGATGGGTGAGAAGCAGAGATGAAATAACTGGCTCTGGGGTCCCCACCAGTCATCTCTTATCAGCTGTTGCATGTGACGGAAAAAGTTTTTGGCCCCAAGTGCTATCCCAGGCCAGTGACGGCAGCCATCTGTGACAGTACAACTTCTGCCCAGGGTTCCAGAGAGCACCTTGGAGAAAGTCACCCTGGACCACAGGGTTTATACCCTAGGCTACTGGGCAAGTGCGGCTTAGTAAGCCCAGGACTCCCCTCCCCTTCTTTATTTTAGAATTCTACTAGCTGAGTAACGCCAGGTTTAACATATTCAAAAGCTTTCCTGAGATGTAACTAACATACCATAACCTCTTTAAAATACACGATCCAGTGGTTTTTAATAATTCACAGAGTTGTATAACCATCAATACAATCAATTTTAGAACATTTTCATCATCCCATAAAGAAACCCATTAGCATTCACTCCCAGTCCCTCAGCAATCACTAATCTACTTCCTGCGTGTGTGGAGTTGCCTGACCCAGGCATTTCATACAGATGGGACCTTCGCTTTCTGCTCTGACTGGCGGCCGCCACAGCAGGTCAGAGGGACTACGCCTCTGAGGGACTGTGCCCGCCCAGGGGAGGACAGAGCTGGGATCCAGGCTCCTGGTCCAGGACCCTCTTCACATTTCTTTGAGAAGAGAGTAAGGCCACTTGTACAAAGCCACACTTACCTTCTTTTTTAGAGGGTTTGTTTCTGCATATTCCAGAGCTACTGAAAGCTGCAGTCCAGATTTTATCAAAATACAGGATGTGCTTTCTTTCTCCTATGCTTGTTTCAAATCTACTTTTTTGGAGATGAGTGCCTTTCACCTAACCCTGCCCACAGAACACCCTGTTGTCAGGCAGGACAGCACATGAGTGAGGAGCACCCGATCTGGAGCCAGAATGTCCTGGTTTGAACCCCAGCTCTGCTACTTCTCAGCTGTGTGACTTTGGGCAAGTTACCTGACCTCTGTCTCTCTCTCTCTCTCTGTCTCTCTCTCTCTCTCTCTCTGTCTCTCTCTCTCTGTCTCTCTCTCTCTCTCGGGGTTTTTTTAATCTGTAAAATGTGTATAAACATAGAGCTGCTCCCATAGTATTGTGAGGATTAAATGAGTTGGTCTAAAATGTAAAGAAACTGTCAAATAAGTGTTGTGGACATTTGCTATTAGTATTATCTAAGGATTTTAATTGTGAATTCCTGCTGGCCTTTATTTTTAGTTGAGGACTGGAGGGTAAGAAGACACACCCTTGTCAGTACCTATGTACACACGTGATGTTTATTGTTGGCCTCCCTTGCTCCTTGATTCAGGCCAGTCGAATTTGTGGGTATGTAGGATTATGGAGTCCTCCAACAAAAGTCAAAACAAGATGATTTGGATATTGGCAAACAGAAGTGTTGGCCCAGCAGGGGCTTCTCATCACCATCTTGCCTTTCCTGTTGTCTGCCACGCTAACCCCTTTCTTTCCCTATACCTGGTGTTTCCAAACACAGGATGCTTGGAGACAAATATAAAATGGTATATAGAAAGTGCTGAATTAAATATGTCTTGACTGCCCAGCACAATTAATAGCCTCCTTCGAGACAAAGTTTTCTTAATTTATCTACAGTGCCTAGCACTGGATATTCAACACTAGTTAGACCAAATTAAAAATCTGTTCGCTCAATATTTGAGAAATTTTAAGTGTGTAAGCATTTTTCTTATGCCACAGATTATATTAATTTACTAAACAAAGCCCTTTTAAAATGACTAGTGCAAGGGTTATCTTCAGTCCTGCCTCATCCAAATGTACAACCTGAAGTAATGAAGGACAAGCCAGTTAGTGACCCATGACTTGAACGGGTGTGTGCTGGTGCTCAAGGGCGACGGAGGAGGGGGCACTTCCCAGTGGAAGAGTCTCCACCACCCTCGACAGTTTGAATGGTGGTTACAGTGACTGAGTTATATTTTCAACAAAGCAAGATGCTTTTTCCTTTTGAAGCTATCTATTGACAAGGGCTGCCCTTCAGAATTCTTAATGTAGTGAAATCTCTAAATTTAAATATAGGGAAGGCAGAGATAGTATCATATAGCTCAATTACTGGGTACTTCATACACGGTGCATGGCCAGAACCCAATTCTAAGTTCTTTGAGGGAAGGAAGAAAACAGGCATACTCCTTGAACCCAACAAGCTTACAGTTTGTAGCGAGACAATACACCAAGCTAACCGTGAACAATATTAGTGTATGTGTTAAGAGTTTAACTATGGGGAATTCCAAACTGAGATCAAGTGTGTTGGGAAAGGCTTCAGAGAAAACAGTCCATCCTTTTGACAGTGGTATTTAGATGAGCTTAGAGAATCTGGGCCTTCCTGCTGCAGGCCGGGCTGGGTGAGGAGTCTGGCGCTGGAGGCAGACCTGGCATGTTCATGACACTGAAGTCACCAGCCCGACTGGAGGGGCGAAGCATCTTCAGATTTGTTCTGACTCTGCTCCCATGACCTTAGCCTCCACACCCATTCTTTCCCCGCCTTTTCAGCATCAGCCAACCAATAGGTGCTTTGCAGCTTAGCACACTCCCCAGGCACCCCAGGAGCCAGCCCACACGGCGCGTTTGTTGAGAGCCTGCTGTGCAGTCTCCTAAGTGCCCAAGGTCAAATCTTGTTTTCCACGTCCAATTAGGGTCCAGGTCTACAACAGAACCTAGCCTCCTTGGGGTCAACTTACGGATGGACCCCATCCCTCTGCCATGACTCTGCTTCCCTTTTCCTCTTCACAAAGCACTCTGTCCTGTTTGCGTTTTTGTAGGTCCCCAAGGGGACTGATCAGAACTGGGCTCAGAAGCTCTACGCCCGGCACTCCGGCAGCCAGCACTTCCAGAAGCCTCGGATGTCCAACACGGCCTTCATTGTCGTCCACTTTGCAGACAAGGTGGGTCTCCTTCCTGTGACAGACTCAGTGCCTGGACTAACAGGGAGCATTCCCCTTGGGATTCAAGTGGCCCAGAGTCTCTTGGGGAGGGTCCCTTCCTTCCTGTCCCCATGCCGTCTGTGCGGTATGCCACTGTCACTACATGGCAGAACCAGGGAAAAGGGGTGTCATTACCCAGTCCTATGCTTAACAAATATTTATTGGGGGTCTCCTTCCTGGGAATCTAGTAGCATATAAAATAGTCCTAAGTCTACACAACTGGGGCTGGAGAGTGAAAAGGGAAGGACAACACAGAGGTGCTCTCATTTGGGAGGCAACTTTCCCAGTTACTGGCATATACATAGCATTTTTCTATAAGGATTTCTATTCTGTATGCAGTAGCCTTGTGCTTCTCAAATTTTCCTGTGCATGTAAGTCACCTGGGGCCCTTTTAAAATGCAGATTCTGATTCAGTAAGTCTGGGGTGTGGCTGCATTTGCAGCCCCCCAGGGGCCAGAGGCCATCTCCTGGGAGCTGCTCTTGAAGACGTGTTTGCCACACAGTGACTCCTGAATTCCCTCTAAATCCAGCTCACATCCTGGTTTTGAATTTTAAGTGGGAACATCTGTGGGTTTCCTCCTTACTCACAACTCATAAAACACTACGTGGCTGAGGCTGTGCTAGCCAGGTGCTCAGCAGCTGCAGGAGGAACCTGGTCAGGCCGAAGCACGCACTTCTGTTTGTTCCCCTCTGCGGCCCCAGGTGGAGTACCTGTCGGATGGTTTTCTGGAGAAGAACAGAGACACGGTCTATGAAGAGCAGATCAACATCCTGAAGGCCAGCAAGGTAAAGAGCATCCGCAGCAGGGAGCTTAGAGCCAGCGTGTCTGTAGCCAGAGCCGGGCAAGGCTGGCAGGAGCCAGCCCCATTCTGGAGTGTGTGAAGGCAGAGAGGTCGGCACAGGGAAGGGGAAAGGGTCTCTAGGTTATTTCTGTCTGATAGCATCTGGGCATGGTCTGCCAGAGGGAAGAAAGCAGGGGAGGAGGTAGAGGAGGCGCCACTGGGAAAGACAAACAGCTAGTGGAAGGGCACGACGGCGACACGAGAAGTGACCATCAGGAGGAGGGGCAACGGTGAGTATAATGATCAAAACGTCCTTGGCTTCCGTTAAGTTATTTGTCCTCATCTCTCACCTGCACATGTAAAATTACTTAAACCCTTCAAATCCTAGTACCAGTGCATTTAATTTCTGTTTAGCTTCTATGGATCCTCCCTATAAGCAAAAACTTAAAATAAGTGGAATCGGGATGCTTAACCTTATTATTCTTGGAATGTTACTTTATATTATCTCCACCATTTCAGGTATTTCCTTCTTGGGAGCATAACCAAAAGATAGCAAATACCGTGTCCATCCTACAGGTAGAAGAAACCAGGCACTGATTCACGTAAACAAATGTTTAATAAGAACCTTGGGAGGTACTGCCCTAAACACACCATGTGACACACAAAGGTGAATAAGCAGATTCCACCCTCTAGGGGCTCACATCCTCTTGAGCCATGAGTGGGCAGAAACACACAGGAAGGGAAAGGGGGGGGGTGTGGGGCGAGGGTCCTGTAGCCAGGGTGGAGCCTGGGCCCCCCCACAGCTCCAGAAGGCCGGCCCACTGGTGCAGGAACTGTTGCCAGCTTCAGCCCTTCCCAGAGAACCCAGAAAAGGATTCTCGGGGATTCAGGAGGCTTTCTCCCAGACCAGGTGATGCAGAACTCACTGCAGGGCCTGATAACACTAGAAATGGCAGATTAATGTCTCTTTGTGATAAGCTTCAGATGAATGCAATGGGGTGAGGTGATGGAAAGGAGACAATACACCCAGCAAAATGGACCCTAGGCCATAGAAGCAAGTAAACCCCATTAAACCCCATGCCCCCAAGGAAGGGTTTAGGGAGGACACGAGCCAGAACCAGCATGCGGGCAGCCTGCCACAGACCCCTGCCCCTTGTCATGGCTGGATATCTGGAAATCGGGGAATTAGTCATCACTGAGACTAATTTGTGTGGAGTAAAAATGATGGAATTCAGCACAAGATTAACCTCTCAGCTTGCCAGGTTTCCAGCTCTCTAGTCCCTGGTTGTTCATATGACTGCTTTTGCAAAGGTTGGGGGTGGGGCAGGGGGCGGTACAGAAGAGAGGAGCCACAGAGAGAAGTAGATGGGTTGAGCATTGGGAGCACCTTTTCCCATCCTGTGTTTCTTAGAAGCTTAGAGGCCTGTGACCTCCTGTTAGTGTGGCAGCGGCCTTAGAAGGCTGAGAAACTTTCCTGTCTTGTTATAAGTTTCTCCTTTCAGGTAGGAGGAGCACAAATGAGGGGTGGGAGAGAGTCTGGTATTTTCTACTAAATAGAGTTTGGTTCTACCATTGTATTGCTTTTTGTCTTAATTTGAGTCTCCCTCAGGTATCCTAGAATCTAAAAAAGAATCTCTCATGGGTAATGGTGTGAAGGTCAGGAAGGTGCTATGAAAGAGAGTAATAGGGGTTTGTTGGCAGTCTCCAAGACCACCCCAAATTCAATCACTTGCTAAGAAGACTCAGAACTCAGCACAGTTGTTCTTGAGGCTACATCTTATTAGAGCAAAACGATGCAGAGCAAATCACAAAAGGAAAAGATGCATGGTCCGGGGGAGGCCAGGTGCAAGCTTGCAAGAACGCTCTGCCAGCAGAGACGGAGTGTGCTCAGCGCCCCCAGCGGGGAGTTGGGATGACATGTGTGGAGTATCCCCCGGGGCAGTTCATCTGAGCCAAGGCACTTGGGGTTTTTACTGGGAGTCGTTCCCTAGGCACTCTTTGCCTAGCATGTACCAAAATTCCAGACTCCCAGGAGGAAAGCCGGTGTTCAGCACACACTACATTGTTTGCATAAATAGCTTAGACACAGTGAACTATTCTTATCAGGGATTGGTGAAAACCTTCCCTAAATCCAAGCTCCTGGACACCAGCCAGGGAGGCAGCCTTGTAAGCAGGCTTTTCCAGGAATAGCAATCTTAGGCCTGCAAAGTTAGCTCTTTTCTGTACAGAGGTATCACTTTAGAAAGGGGGTACTGGGTTTTTATTACAAATAAAAGAGACTTATAAAAGATTCAAATAGTACAGAAGCACAAAGTATTCTTTCCCATTCCTTCACCCACCTTTCCACAAATTACCATTCTGCATATACAAGGATGTTGTATATCTTCAAGATTAAAATGAATCACATTATACATAGTCCTCTCTGATATTTCACTTAGCTTTATAGCTTGGCCATCTTTCCACAGGAATACATATCAACCTCTTTTTTAAACAGCTGCTGGTATTTTGCTAATTCAAATAATGCTGCAGTGAATGCCCTTTGCACATATCTTTGCTTATACAATTATATCCATCAGGCACATTTTTAGAAGTGGAATTGACGGTTCAAAGAGTACCCACAGGAACAGTTTGTAAATACTGCTAAATTGGAGAGTAAAATTGTCTGTAGTCTACCCTAAAAGGTAACTGACCATTCTCTCCCCATCTCACCTGCCACACCTCTAGCTTTCCCCTTCACCAACTGATCCTTCTAAAGAGCCCTCAGAGGTGCTGGGATGGTGACCAGCGGCACTAAGATGAACCAAGCAGGGCTCTAGGACCACTGGACCCCAGCAGGAGGGCTAAGAACCCTCCACTCTGAAACCCATTCCAGCCCACTTCAGACATCCCCGAAGACAGAAAGCGGAGATCGATGCTAGGTCACTATAACCTGTAGGTGGGCTCTACACAGGCTGCAGCTATAAATTGGAAAGTGGTTCCAAGTGTGTTTTAAATCCTTTGGACAGATGGGCATCTCTGGCAGCATTTTTCATTGTTATATTGTTAAAGCTCATTGTTTACTGAGCCTCTAACATCTTTAAAATGCTTAGTTTTCACAGCAGTCCTGTGAGGTTTTTGTTTCTCTAACTCCATGTCACAGAGAGAAAAATACAGACCTAGAAAGATACAAGGCCCTACAGCATAGAGTCAATGCCTGGGTTTTGTTGTTCATTTTCATCTCACTAAGCAGAGATAAATCTCAAATCCTACATATATAAACTCGTAATTTTACTTTAAGTATTTTTGTTGAGGGAGACCTATTAGCTTTTTTCTTTCGTGTGGCTCCCCTAGTAAGAAAGTAACAAATCATTGTGAATAACTAAGCAGTATGGGACAGAGGACCCCCGTGTACCCTCCAGGCCACGGGGGTAGGTTTGAAGAACTCCCAGCAAGAGTAGTGACACAAAACTGCTCATGAGAATGTAATTAGTAAAGCCGGTGACACTGTTGAAGAGGTTATAATCTAGCTAATTGCCTTCTTGGCTATCAGAGCTATTAGAGACTTCAGTGAAGAAATGCCTCTTTAACACAGGACCTCAGTTTTTTAAAAGACTGATTTGTTTTAGATACTAAAGATGGAGATTCCCCACCCCACCCCCAGTATTTATTATACTAAGCAGTATTTTATCAATCTGGAAAAAAATCTCAAGAGATTATTTTTCTGAAGACTTCCTATTCCAGGGCGGCACTGGGTCCGGAGTTGATGCCAGTAAGCCTCTGGCAGGAAGGACCATCCTGGGCAGGATTACTGGGCAGCCAGTCCTGATGCCGCCTCTCTACTCCATCTCAACAGGAGGGATCTCGAAACCAAAGTAGTCCTGAGGCCAGGGAGACCGTATCAGCCCCCAGACTGCCTACGCTGGGCTGGGGCAATCCCGGAGGCCCAAACGTCACAGTGGCGTAGCTCAGATGACGCCCCAGTGCACTCATGCCCCATCTCCTTTCTACATCTTTGGCCTGACTCCAAGTCCTCAAGGAATGACAGTATGTGTCCATTGCTTCCCACACTGGTATGTTCCTTATAAGTTACACACATTCCACTTGGAGTGGAATTTGCTTTTTAAAAAATTTATTACTTAAAAAATTTTTATGTAACAGCTTTATTGATATATAATTGACATACTACAAAACACTTCTAAAAGTATACAGAGTGGTTCCTGTTTAAAATCAGTTTGTGCTAGCAGTTAAAAGCTTCTACCAATATTTAGAATAAACAGGTCACTGTGTAAGAGAAAACTTTTTGGTCAGTAAAACAAGACCAGCATCCTCTTTCCAATATCGGAAAATTCACCTTTTTTCCTTAAAAAATGAAATGCTGAAACTATTCCTTCAAAGCCCATTTAAACACTTTCAGACAAACAACTACTTACCTGAAAGTTGGAGATACTTTTCCAAAGGGTAGCACTGACCATGGAAAAGAATTGATAAGAAAATGTATTTTTTTTTTATGTTTACAACCAGAATTTTTAAAGATAGAATTTTTGGCTAGAGATTCCAATCCAGTGGTTCTTATAGCATGTCCTATTTTAGTCTTGTGTGTCTGTTTTAAAGGAAAAATACTTTATGTTCTTATAAACAAGTGAATAGGCAAGGTTTCCAAGGTAACACTTATGTATATAGTTATAAGATTTTTAGAAAGTGTTTTCATACTTGTAGTTCCTTTTCAAATAGATTTGCCTCCAGCCTTAAAAATCTATATATAGACTTGAATAGCAGAGAATACTAAAGCCAGCACTTATAGACACTTGGAAATAAGTGACAAACAGTATTAGCAAAGTATTAACTTTTTTGAAGGTATTATCTGAGTGTTTTCAAGATGACTGAGAACAAATTTCTAACAAAGCCCAGGTGGAGGCTGTTCCCTAATACAATTCCTAAGCTGAATTGTAGTAGTTCACTCACTGGTCAGTCAGCTTATAAACAGACTTCCCAATTGCTCTAAAAGCATAACTGGAGTTAGTCAAT